TGAGGCAAGAGGAGCAAGGAAGATTAAGAGAACTTTCTGCTCTCGTGAACCCCAGAATTAGAGGAATCTCTTACCAAGATGGTAATTCTGTAAAACACCTAAATCTTCAATTCCTCTTCCAAGGTTCCTAACACCTGAAAATTCTCTGTAGGGCATTATTTTTATAGTGTACATAAGTCAGACTAAAATATAAAAGAAGCTGTTTCCTTGGACATGCTTTATGGTGAACACATGCAGTAAGTTAAGATCTGTTTTAGCTTGTCCTTAAGTTAGGCGATCATCTCAGGTTCACCTTTTTCTCATTGAGGTAGGAGGATAAGAAAATGTATTTTGCTGACATGGGGAAAGAATGCTGAATTACATAGCTAGGGACTGGGGGACTCCGTGCCAAGTTCTAGATGTGCTGCTAACTAGCTGCATGACTTTGGGCCAAGTCACTTTACTTCTCAACCTCCCAATGACTTCATCACTCAACTCAAACTACTCTCTCCAGAGTTACTAACGATCTCTTAATTGCCAAATCTAATGGCCTTTTCTTAATCCCTGTCCTTGATCTCTCTGAAGCATTTGACACTGTTAACCACTGGCTCCCTATAACCTCTCTTATCTCACCTTATATGGTGCTTTAAGAAAGCAGGAGAAATGCAAGTTTTTACGCTTGACATGTAAAAACCTAAACAGAAATAAAATGTTAATGAATGATAAAGTATGGAGCCACCAACTCTCACCAGCTACCCATCATCTATCACATGCAGGCAATGATTCCCCGATCTCCACATCCAGTCCTAGTCTATCTCCTGAGTTACAGTCCCATCACCCATGCTTATTGGAAATTCAAAACGAACGTCCTACAAGCTCCTCAAACTCAGCATCTCCAAAAGGGAACTCATTATCTTTCTCTCCAAGTCCATTCCCTCTCCAGATTTCCCTAATTCTGTCAAAGGGACCACCACCACCCTCCAGTCATCCAGTTTTGCAATCTCAGCATCATCGTCAATTCACTCTTCCTCAACCCACATATTCATGAAGTGGCTGAATCTTATCAATTCTCCCTTCATGACGCTTCTCCCATCCATCCCATGGTGTCTGCCCACCTGGCCACCACCCTCATACAGGCTCTCATAACCTCTTGCCTGGGCTACTCAGTGACCTCCTAATTTGTCTCCTTGCTTGAAGCCTCTCCCCTCTGCAACCCATCTGCCACACAGCTGTCAAAGTGATTTTCCTAAAATACAGGCCTGACCATGCCATGCCCCTATTCGATAAACTCTAGTAGCTACCAATTATGTCTAGAATAAAAAACAAATGCCTCTATTTGGCATACAAACCCTTTTACAACCCGGCCCCAAACGACCTTTCCAAATTTACTCTCCGAGAGTCATTTCATGCTTCCTTCAGTCCAGCCAGAGTAGCCTTCTTCTGGCTGCTCCCCCCATAATAGATTCTCTTCTCAATGCCTTTGCACAGGTTATCCCCCATAACTAGAATGCCCTCCCTCCTCACCTCAGCCCCTAGGACTCCTTGGTGTCCTTCAAGACATAGCTCAAGGTCTCATTTCTAGGGTCTGCTCCATGTGCCTACCCAAAACGGAAACATTTCTGATCTTGTGAAATATCTCCCCATCACTCGATATTAATTCTAATTCCAGCTTCAGGGACCTTTTTCTTATTCCAGATAGAGTGCTACACCTAGAGTCAAGAAGACCTGATTCAAAACCCACTTCTGACATTTACTAACCATCTGGCCAGGAGCAAGCGTCATACCTCCAAAATTATTTTTCCATTTCCACTGTCTATGCCTTGTATGTACCTAGTTATCTACACGTTGTCTCCCCCATCAGAATGTGAGCTCCTTGAGGGCTAGGATTGGGCTTCTGCCTTCCTTTATACCTTTATACTGTGCTTAGCACAGTGTCTGGCACTTGGTAAGTGCTTAATAAATGCTTATTAACTGACAAGCTCTTTGAACCTCAGTTTCCTCATCTCTAAAATGAGAATATAATATTTGCTCCTATCTCACAGGGTTATTGTAAGGAACAATAGCATACATAAAGCACTATATAAACATCAGCTATTGTTATTACTTTTTATAAGTAAAAGACTAAACAGAGGAAACAAAAAATATTGATAGATTCAAATATGAACATATAAACTCTCAACTGTTTAGAAAAGGATTCTTGATTGAGTATATACTCCAGCATCACTGTTATGATTGATCCCTGTCAAGACAAGTGAAACAAACTATTAAAATCATTCAATCTTAAAACAAAATTCTCCTTGAAAGTTTATTATTCATTCAGCATCATGTCAGAATATTTCATTCAATTAACTGTTAATAAATCTGGGGGTCAATTTACCCAGTACATCACAGAAACATGCTTAATTTCCGCAGTGGTGTGAAGAAATGAGTAACAACAAAGGTAATCAATTCTTGTAAACAAAAACCTGTGAAACTGAAAATAGGAGAGGGGGAAAGGGAAACTCGAAAAAGATAAGATAGGGTTGCTGGTGATCAAAGCCATACCTACAGAAAATCCTCTTCCAAAAATTAAACTAACTCTTCAGATTTGAAGTTCTTAACTATGTTTCAAAATAGTGTGTTAGTTTTTAAATAACTTAGCCAATGCACTAGACTAGAATCTCACTTCAGTCTTCCCCAAAGTGTGGAATTGACTATGTGGTTTATGCACGTAAACTTCTTTAAAATAAGGACAACTCAGAAGATGGTTTACCAAATGATGGTCCTGTGGCATGGACCCTCTAGAACACACTAGAAGGAGGCTCCAGTGTAATATTAGAAGGGATTCTGCACGTAATAAAACTGTCCTATTTCAGACACTCCAAATAAAATTGTATTTTTTTCTTGTTAAAAGACACATAAAGGAAAAAAATACTGTAATTCCACCTCCCAGTTAGGAATTATAGATACTCAAAAATGAAAAACTAAATAGAATTCGTTCTTCTAGGGCATCTGCAGAGGCACATTATTCCAAGCTCAAGAAAGCTGTATATACTTCCAACTACCATGAGATTAAAGAATGTACCTTCAAATACCATATCCAGTAAAAACCATCCAAGAAAGGAACATCACCAAATCAAAACAAGTATTTCCTAAGTGTCTAAGTCTTTCCTAACACTGAAACAACATCCATTTCTTTCTGTGTGGTACCCTTCTCTATCAATGATCCCTTCAAGGATTCCCTTAGTTTGAGTCAGGTTCCAGTAAGATTTTGGAAAACCTCATAATAAAGAAAAAAGGGCATTTTCCCCTAAAAACAAGCACTTAATCACATGCTGCCTAAAGTCAATTATCACACTTAAAATGAACAATTCTGCCAATCTACCTTCAAATTACATTGATTGTATCATCTTCCATGATGTTCTAGAATACTAAACAATATTCTAACTACTCTTTCATTCTGACCTATCCTGCCGTATCCTAATTCCAAACACAGTTCTTTCAAAGCATAAATTCTGACCTGTAATCCTCACCGACTGACTACACAGTGAGGCTTCACCACCCCCCCGCACCATACATCTCTTGACATTTTGCCTTTGCTCTGTCCTCCTCCTCTGTTCTAGTACAGCTTCCACATAGCTCTCAGCCCACTTCAATCCAGACCTACTACACAGTCAACAGCTACCTACATTCCAGCCTTACAGAAAACTGTCTAGAATCAACATAGCTAGCAAAGCCAGAATGTCATTTTTCAACATAAATTTTAAACCAAAAATTCAATAAGAAAAACATCTTCCTTTTCAACTTCAATCACCATTATTGACCTTATTTTCATGTCTAATGCCTAATTTCTATATCAGTCTAAAATCTTTTCAGGAACACCATCAAAATAGCACCTATAAGGAGAAGCCATTTAGAAACAATCCCCAAAGCCCTTTTGATTAACATCGAGGCTACTCACATTCTTAATACAGAGCAAAGAGAGGATGAATACTGTCAGGAGGAAACCAAATTGTGTTCACTTCACAATTGAGCAACAACGAATTACCAAAAGCTATCCTAATAGCCAAAAAGTGAGAGACCCAGGAAGTCTGTGTAGTAACACTAACACTATCAATGTAAATCCTCGCTGAGAACGGGTAGTTCTAAAGGCAGGATGTCCATACATCACAATGAAATGAATTGTTATGTTCAGCGACCAAATCAGCTGAAGCTACTGCATTTCTGATCAATCCTCTGATGCTGGAAGTCAGGGCTCTCCAATCCTGGGCACGGCACTAATGCATTTCTCATTAGCTCTTCCAGCAACAGCTAACGACCTACCAGGTCAAGGGGTTTATACCATGACAGCTATACTTCCATTTTCTCCCCTTGGTTTTTTCCCTGAAATGCAGCGATGCCCAATTTTCTGTGAATATGATCTTTCACCATTTACATGTTCCTTTCAGTGGATCTCCTTTACGCAGGTTTCTGTCAGACCCCATAGAAGGCTGCCAGTTGGGGGAAGCTTACTTCCTGAGTCAGTGACCTAGAGAATGGTGGGGTTCGTGTCCTTGGAGCTTTGATCAGACCACTCACACCTCCAATTTATGGTCCTCCCCTTCCTGATCTTATCTCTAATAGTAACAAGTGGGCTTAGTGATGCTGAGCCCTTGGGGTTCTTCAGCATACCAGAGGCAGCCACCACCCCCAGCCCCCACAGAAAAGGAGATCTCTGCTCCTCTCAGCACTTCTTCTGTCAGGGTTCTGCACTCACTGCTAGTAAAAGACCTATGCTAGCTCTTCCCCTGTGAAAAGCAGAGTCTAGAAACTAACTCAGAGTAACCAAATCACAATGTCACAATATCTATTTGGGGAACAGACACAGACACCCTTAAATACAATTACATAAAAACATTAAACATGCAGAGACATGAGAAATCTAACAGCCCCGTTCATGCAGACGACACGCTAATTAACAAGACTCCCCGACTCGACTCACTGTCCCTCAAAGCTGATTTTTTATATCGACACAGTTCCCATGAATGATAATTTCCACTTACTCTGCTCTGCCAAGGATCCCCAGTGCTTTGCTGAAGGAAAACCCCACAAAAGGCAAATCTTCACCAGAGAAACCTCCAGGGTTCAACTGGCCCGGAAAAGGTAAAGCCCGCGAATTCCTCTCTGGTTCATCAAAATTAGAGGTGTCATCATCAGACTTGAGGGTGGGAACGAAGGGGGGAGGAGCTGATGAAAAACAAAAAGAAAAAAAAAATCCGTCTCATACAATCACACTCTTTCACAGCAAAGGGTCCTGCTCCTTCTCTGCTTGCCCTGGCACTGCAGCTCCTGCCTTTAATCTCACTCACACAAGCAGCGGAGCCCCTGCTCTCAAACAGGATTACAGCAACAAGAGATTAACCTCTTCTTTGCCAACATGGCTACCACTCTGCAGACCATCTTCCATCCTAGTTAAACTGAATTATCTTCTCAGCCAGGTAACGGTCTCACGAAAGCCACCAGGCACAGGCACTTCCGAACTAACCATAGCAAGCCACTTGTTCCGAATCTTTCTAGAATATTTCTATAAAGCCACCCAACTATAAGCATCCCACTGTGATGCCTCCTCTCCAGGACTGTCACAGGCATAAGGAATGATCTAAACCTATTCCTGACACGTCCAAATGAAAAGGTTTTTATTGCCACTGAAAACTGGTCTTTTTCTAAAAGATTTAAAGAGCTGCAACCACTAAATCTTACTAGGTGACTGTAATAGAGAGAAAAGGAGGAAGAGGATTTACTCTCAGGTCCTTAAGGATTTGCAACTCTTCATGGGACAGCACTGCAGTCTGGCTCATAATTATACAAATGCATAAACTGAAGACCTTATGAAATATTAGTTTATTTTCAGCTTACCTTATCTCCTCTCCGCACCCCCCCCCAAATTCACTGCAGTTTAATGAACAAGACGAATGAAGTTCCTCCAGCGACGTACAGAACCCCTGATCACTGGGGATGTGGCTACATACATGAAAAGAATAAACAGAATCTGCAGTACCATTCCTACCTCCTTGCTACATTTCCTCCACTTCTGGCAAACGTGCTGAGCTTCCTTGCTTGAGGAGGCCGACCCTCTTGCATCAGTAGCCAGAACTGAGCTCACGGCTCCAAGCCGCACTCACGGAGTGCAGTGTGCTCCAGCCGTTACCATGGATCCAGCATGGAGCTCCTGTAGCTGAAGGGCTGGAGAGCGAGGAGGACCAGGGAACAGAGAGCACAGCCCCTGCACTGCAGGCTTCCTGCTACTCACTCTGTGCATGCTCTGGGCTTAAACCTACCTGCCTGCATCCATGACAGATGCTGATGCTTCTCTGACTGACACAAGCAGAATGAGTCACTCGCTGCTGGGGCTTGCTAGCTCCCTCTGGCTGCCAAAGCCTTTCACAGCCCAGACTTTTTTAACTCTTTATTCTCTAGAATGACAAATCTGTGTTTAATCTACCACCAGAGAGAAGCAGCAGTTTGTTTCTGCTCACAGACAAAAATCTGCCTGTACAAAATACCCCAATTACAACAATGCTCAAGTTTCATTAGTGACTCTCCAGAGAAAATGCTTCCTGGAAGGGGAGAGGGAGAGGGGCAAGGGGAGATTTGAAGGAATAAGGAAGCCAGTTTAGAGGGCTCATTTCTTCAAAGAAAGTCAAAAGAGCATTCACATAACTTTAAGTGTATTTGGAAAATAAGGAGAAGGAAGGTGAGAAATATAAAATGTGCAACACCAGAAAATTATTTAACACCTCCAAGTTTCCTCAAGAGAATTTAAGTCTTCACTTTAATGTGAAAAAAATCTACTTGCTTTTAGACACATGAATTACTTTTTTTTTTTTAATTACCAGGTTGGAAAGGAAAATTCTAATATTGTCCGCCCTGTTCCTTATTCTCCATATATACAGCGACATAATTTCCAAAGCAAAAATCCAACCTGAATTTAAATGGCTCTCCCAAGCGTATTGTAAAAATGGAAGAGATAAAAACTAAAAGAAGATAAAAATATGTAAGTAGGCAACAGGAAGAGATTTCCTGAGACAAGTCGATCTCATTACTAAACACCCACAGGATGGTTGGAGCTTTAGAAAACAGTCCCTGTGTAGTGTTTGTTTTGTACAGTGTAAAACAAATCTATAGACATCTATATAACATCTAGCTATTTGTATTATGTCATTCCCACCAAGTTATATATATTCTCTTTCCAATTTAAGCTGTTCTCTTCCAGAGATAAAAAGAATCCCTCTCCTGAGTGGAGAGTTTTAACCTAGGGTAGGATTCACCTTCAGTAAAATTATAGACTAGAAATTCATTACTAGAAAAATAAATATCCTCTCTAAAAACTCTAGCACTATAATATAGTTTAATGTAGTCAAGATCAATTTAATGGCTCAGTAAATCCTCAAGGTAAGAACAAGAGAAAGTAGAAGATACCAAATAACACACTGGAAGATCTTGCTGTTACAAAAGAAATTTAGCAACATACCTGCCAGGGAAATGCTTAAAGAAGAACAAGGCAGACACAGCAGGTACAAGGTACAAAAGGAATACCTATAGACCACGGTGAAGCATGAGCTGAAGAGCCAGACATGATTCGATATTCAGAAAATCACAGAAGTTGAGAATCAGAAGAGACCTCAGTGTCCCTCCAGTCCAAACCATACATCAAAGGAACCCTCAAGATAACACAGCCCACGAGCCCAAGTCACCCAGACTCTGCTGGAAGATCTCCAGGGAGGGGGAACCTACCATTTCTCCGAGCTTCTACCCACTGAATCTGGCACCGCCCCCTGGGGCCGGACAAGGCCCACCTAACCCCTCTCTCACTCACTGACCCTTCCACTACTTCTAGACACTCTCTTCTCATGGCTCAATGTTTGCAGTTCTTCAGTTGGTCCTCACCTATCGTGGCTCAAGGGCTCAAAGTCCTTCACCAGCCTCTGGAAACATTTTTCTTAATGTCACTGAATGATTTTTTAAAAATTTTTATTTGAACTTTTAAATTATTTTGCTTTTTCCAAATAACATTTACTTTCTCTTCTTTCCAATTCCACCTCCCAACTGGAAGGAAGAGGGGAAGGGAGAGGGGGCAGACAGGAGGGAGGAAATTTATAATATGCAGTTAAAAAAAACCAAAATCTTGCACTGACCACATCTAAAAAAAAATGTATGTCTCATCTTCCTCTTGAGTCTATAACTTCTCTGGCAGAAGGTAAGTAGTCAAGTCGAATCAAGTCAACAACCGATTATTTCATAATTATCGCATGCCAGGTACCTTGCTAAGCACTGGGGAAGATGCTTCAACATCGGTCCTCTGGAATTATACCTGTTCACTGCATTGATCAGAAGTCTTAAGCCGTGCACAATTATCTGTCTTTACAATGCTGTTATTGTATAAACTGATCTGGTTCTGCTCACTTCGCTCTGCATCAGTTCATTCAAGTCTTCCCAGGTTTTTCTGAAACTGTCCCTTTCATCATTTCTAACTGCACATGACATTCCATTATATTCATATATCATAATTTGTTTGGCAGTTCCTCAATTGATAGACAATCACTTAGTTTCCAGTTTTTTGCCATCACAAAAGAAGGAAGGGAAGGAAGGAAACAAGCATTTTTTAAGTGCCTACTATGTGCCTAGCACTTTACAAATATCATCTCAATCGATCCTCACAACAATGCTGACAGGTAAATGGTGCTGTTATTATCCCAATTTTACAAGTGAGGAACTGAGGCGGTGGTTAAGTGACTTGCTCAAAGTCACACAGCTAGTAAATGAGAGGTCACATTTGAACTCAGGTCTTCCTAACTCCAGGTCCAATGCTCCATCTACTGTGCCACCTAGCTGCCTCAAAAAGAGCTGTTAAAAATATTTTTTTGTACGATATAGGTCTTTTTGCCAAAAGTGGTTATCACTTGGTCAAAGGGTGACCTTTCGGGCATAATTCCAAACTGCTTTCTAGAATGTCTGAAGTAATTCATAGCTCCACCAACAGCACATTAGTGTGCCTGTTTTCCTGCAACTCTCCAACAGTTGTCATTTTTGCCAATCTGGGTGTGAGATGAAACCTAAGACTATAATTTGTACTTCTCAGATTATTAGTGATTTGGAGCATTTTTTTCATATGACTGTTAATAGCCTGGATCTCTCCTTTTGAAAACTGCATGTTCACATACTATAAGCAATTACAAATTGGGAAATGGCTCTTAGTCTTATAAACTTGAATCCATTACTTATATTTCTTGGAAATAAGATCTTCAGGGAAATTTAAGGCAAAAATTTTTTCCAGATAACTTTTTCCCTTCAAATTTTAGCTTTGTTAGGCTGAGGGAAAGGAGGGGGAGGAGAAGGAATAACTTTAATTTTACGTCTCCTCTGTATACTCCCTAGATTATCAATGTACATCTTAAATCATGGTGCCCAAAATTGGAAATTATATTCCAAATACAGTCCAGGGACTACCACCTCTGTATTCCTGGACGCTATGACCTTCTTAATGCAGCCCAAGATGCCATTAACTGTTGTGGCTGCCATATCACACTGCTGACTCATATTAAGCTTGTAGCCCAGGTGTTTTGTTGTTGTTGTTTTCAAAACAGTAGCTATCTAACCATCTCTCCCCACAACTCGGTCTGGTGAAGTTAACTTTTTTTGAACCCAAATATCTCACATTTATCCCTAATCAATTTCATCTGATTAGATTTAGCCTAATGCTGTACCTCTCAAGATCTGTTTGCTTCCTGATTTCATCATCCACTGTGTTAGGAAAGACCTGAGTTTGAATACTACCCCAGACACTTACTAGCATGTGACTACAGGCAAATCACTTATGAGAGGGTTAGGCTTGAGAGCCCCTAAGGTCCTCTCCAGCTTTAAATCTTCGATCCTATTCCTCCTAGCTCTCTGACTTCCACAAATCTGATGAGCGTACATACCACACAGGTCTTTGAGTACCACCTAAGTTTCTGATTTAAACATTAAACAACATAGGGTCAAAGAAAGATCCCTGAAGTAGTCCACTGGAGACCTCCCTGCAATGCTGACATGGAACCATTAACTTTTCGAGTCTAGAAACTCAACCAGTCCTGATTCCATCTTATTGTATTATTTTCTAATCCACGTCACTCCATCTTCTCCACTAGAAGAGAACGAGACACTTTTTCAAAAGGTTTGTTACAGATTTAGGTAAACTATATCCACAG